TGAGTGCCAAGTCGGAGGAAGCCCCAAGCCTCATATTTACTGGAAGAAGAGTGGAATTCCACTTACTACTGGATACAGGCATGTTTTAAACTGTACATATATACACTTTGTAATGTGAATTGTTTGTAACTTATTTTTACCATACTTTTTTCATTTCTGTGAGTAAAAAGTACTCAGACTTGTTTATAATAAATAAGTGGATAAACAAATTATGTGCTAGTTTTATGTCTATTGTGACTAGGTTTTTATGTATTTTCTTCTGCTTTAATTCATAGTTTCTATGATGCAAATATGTTAATATGAAAAAAACTCATGCATTATCTAGGTACAGAGTAGCCTACAATAAGGACACAGGAGCATGCAAACTTGAGATCTCCATGACATTTGCTGATGATGCTGGAGAATACACCATATTTGCTAGAAACCCACTTGGAGAGATTTCTGCTTCAGCCATGCTGCTTGATGAAGGTTAGTTTTCTGGGTGGCTTTATTATAAATGGCAATAGTATGTTAGTTCAAATGTTAATATTGTTTTTCTGCATTTTACAGAGGCATATGAGCTGTATATGAAGAAACAGGAAGAGACATTCAAGACCGAAGTAACTACTATAATAGAGGAGCCAAAAGTGGCTGACATACCTGCTGTTGTTGAGACTGTAACTGAGAAAGAGCAGATGCTCATGCAGAGAAGGATGGCTCAACAAACCCAAATAATGCAGTCCTTCATTTCAGAGCAGGTATGAAAGATTTTAAGCTGCTAAATCCTATTTTAAAATCATACATCATACATGAAAACCAACTTAATTCACAAAGTGTGAGAATGAATCTTACAATTAAATTTTGTACAGGAGTTACAAATATCTAACTTGGAGCAAAGATTCATCCAAGAAATTGAGTTCCGCTTGCTGAAGATTACTTACCAGGAGATGGTGATTGAGGATGGGGAGCAGTTGGATATGAGTGTTTCTGAACATGATGCTATTTATCCAGTTTTTAATACTCCAGTTAAAAGCTACAGACTCAGGGAAGGAATGAGTGCAACTTTTCATTGCAGGATGACAGGAACCCCTCTCCCTAAGGTAAGATTGAATTGTTATCTTTAAACATATTCAATATTCATTCAACTAAGTTAGTATAACGTTTAAGCAATATCACTAGCAAAACTGCTATTGTACTGAATATCATGAATACTTGGCCTGTCAAAATAGAGGAATGGAATGAACTGTTATATTATTTGAACTATAGATTGTCTGGTACAAAGATGGCAAGCGTATCATACATGGAGGCCGTTATCAGATTGAGGTTCTGCAGGATGGTAGAGCCAGTCTGCGCCTTCCTACGGTGCTGTCAGAAGATGAGGGCATCTATACTGCTTTGGTCAGTAACATAAAGGGTAATGCTGTCAGCTCTGGAAAGCTGTATGTGGAGCCAACTGGTATAGCACAAACACAGATTCCTCAGCCAGGGGCAGTTCAAAGAATCAGGTAGGTTTTGACTTCTCAATCTGAGAAAATCACACTTTGTAATATCACTACAGCAAATTACATGATATTGCAATAAGAGTACTTATCAGATCAAGATATTAAAAATACTTAATTTTTCAGGTCCACATCACCACGCTCCACAAGTCGTTCTCCTGGTCGATCACCTGCTCGTAGACTTGATGAGACAGACGAGGCCCAGCTAGAAAGACTCTACAAGCCTGTGTTTGTACAGAAGCCATCATCCTTCAAGTGCTCTGAGGGACAGACTGCAAGATTTGATCTGAAAGTAGTTGGGAGACCCATGCCTGAAACTTACTGGTTCCACAATGGTTAGTGATAGCTGCATATCCCAGTTGTGTAGAAGGTTTTAAAACAATGGACATTCTTTTATTGCCATGGCACGACAACTGTACTTTTTCATCACAGGACAACAAGTGGTCAATGACTACACCCACAAGATTGTGGTAAAGGAGGATGGAACTCAGTCAATGATTGTGGTTCCTGCCATGCCTCAGGAGTCTGTGGACAGTTGTTGCTCAGAACAGAGCGAGTGGACAGTTGTTGCTCAGAACAGAGCTGGAAAGACAACCGTATCTATGACTCTCACTGTTGAAGGTACGATGCTACATACACTACAGTTTCTTTTAAAGAATGACTTTCTGTAAAACAGTCACTTCAGGCCAACTGCATTCTAAAGCATTCTAATGGCATTTCTTCAATTTTACATTTTTGTCATGTTTAGACAAGGAAAACTTGGTGAGACCACAATTTGTGGAAAAGCTAAGAAACATCAGCGTTAAAGAGGGTACTTTGGTTGAGCTAGCTGTTAAAGCTATTGGCAACCCCCTTCCTGACATTGTTTGGCTGAAGAACAGTGACATAATCTCCCCACATAAACACCCACATATTAGGTAAGTTTTCAATACTGAAAATATACAGGTGTAAGTAAATAATCAAAATGTTACTCTCTGTGATGATGTGCATGCTGTAAAAAATTAATTTCTGTATTACAGTTAACTGAATTTACTTGTTTATTAGGATTGAGGGTGGTAAAGGCGAAGCTCATTTCAAGATTCCATCATGTACAGGATCTGATAGCGCATGGTACACTGCTACTGCTATCAACAAAGCTGGCAGAGATACCACACGCTGCAAAGTTAACATTGAGGTGGATGCAGTAATGCCTCAGCCTGAGAAAAAGCTTATCATTCCCAAGGGAACTTACAAGGCCAAAGAAATTGCTGCACCAGAGTTAGAGCCACTGCATCTTCGCTATGGTCAGGAACAGTGGGAAGATGGTGACCTCTATGATAAGGAGAAGCAACAGAAGCCTCACTTCAAAAAGAAGCTTACCTCAGTCAGGCTGAAGCGATTTGGACCTGCGCACTTTGAGTGTAGACTGACCCCTATTGGTGACCCGACCATGATTGTTGAGTGGCTGCATGATGGCAAGCCATTAGCAGCTGCTAACAGACTACGCATGGTCAATGAGTTTGGCTATTGCAGTCTTGACTACGAAGCTGCTTATTCCAGAGATAGCGGTGTCATTACTTGCAGAGCCACCAACAAGTTTGGAGCTGACCAGACCTCTGCTACACTAATTGTTAAAGATGAGAAAAGCCTTGTTGAGGAAACACAGTTGCCAGAGGGAAGGCGAGGACAAAAAATAGATGAAATAGAGCGTATTGCACATGAGGGTGGCCCTTCTGGAGTTACTGGAGATGATAATCTTGAAAAGACTAAGCCAGAGATTGTGTTACTTCCAGAGCCAGTCAGAGTTACAGAGGGAGAAACAGCTAAATTCCGCTGTAGGGTGACCGGCTACCCTACCCCAAAAGTTAACTGGTACCTCAATGGACTGCTCATCCGCAAAAGTAAACGATTCAGACTTCTCTTTGATGGTATTCACTACTTGGAAATTGTAGATGCCAAGCCCTATGATTCAGGGGATGTCAAAGTTTTGGCTGAAAACCCTGAAGGTGTTGCTGAGCATCTTGTAAAATTTGAGATTCAGCAGAAGGAGGACTTCAGGTCAATCTTGCGTCGTGCACCTGAGGTTAAGGCTCCTGCTCCTGTACCAACACAAGAGCATGGTAGAGTCTCATTTGAGGTTGTCAAAGCTGAGAAACCATCTGAGACCTCTAAAGAACCGAAGGAGGTGGTTAAGCTGAGGAAAACTGAGAGAGTAATCCATGAGAAATTAACAGAAGAAACAGAGGAGCTAAGAAGCAAATTTAAGCGTAGGACCCAGGAGGGCTACTATGAAGCAATAACTGCCGTAGAACTGAAGTCCCGCAAGAAGAATGAGTCCTATGAGGATATGCTGAAGAAGAGGAAAGAAGAACTTCTTCATCACGCAAAAGAACTAGGGCCTGATGCTGAGAGGAATAAAGAAGAGGAGAGTAAACTCAACATTCCCAAAGTCAAACCAGAGAAAATTGTGCTCTCTCCAAGCATGGAGGCTCCTAAGATCATAGAACGGATTCAGAGCCAGACAGTTTGCCTGGGAGATGAAGTACACTTCCGCTGTAGAGTCACCGGTAAACCAGATCCAGAATGTCAGTGGTTCAAGAATGGTGTCTTATTGGAGAAGTCAGACCGGGTATACTGGTATTGGCCAGAGGGCCATGTCTGTGAATTAGTGATCAAAAATGTCTTAGCTGAGGACTCAGCAAGTATAATGATCAAAGCCATGAACATTGCTGGAGAGACCTCAAGCCATGCTTTCCTACTAGTTCAAGGTAAAACATTTTACCAACTTGTTGCTGTTTGCATGTTATCAATCCCATAAATGGTAAAAGTAATCTTCAGTCATTGTTCTTTGGCTTTGCTTTTAGGCAAACAAGTTGTTTCATTCACACAACTTCTAAAGTTGAATGTAAGTGTTTTGAGATTTTTTTTTAAATAGTGTTCACCTTAAATGTGAAATTTGGCATTCTAAATATGTTTTGTCTTTCTTGTATATATTCAGATTTGAGAGTTACCAAACCTATGAAGAACATTGAGGTTCCAGAGACCCATGTGGCAACGTTTGAATGTGAAGTTTCTCATTTCAATGTTCCATCGATCTGACTGAAAAATGGAGTTGAGATTGAGATGAGCGAGAAGTTTGGCATTGTGGTGCATGGCAAACTTCATCAGCTGAAAGTCATGAATGCCAGTCAGGAGGATGCTTCAGAATACACATTTGTGTGTGGAAATGACAAAGTGTCTGGTAACCTGACTGTAAAACGTGAGTAATACGTTGTCTGTAAACTTGAAATAAATATAAAATGACTAAATACAGCATATTCACAAATGCATTTTAAAATCTTTCAGCAATTCTGATCACTTCCATGCTTCAAGACCTCAATGCTAAAGAAAAAGACACGGTTACATTTGAGGTGACCGTAAACTATGAAGGCATCACCTACAAATGGCTGAAGAATGGAGTAGAAATCCGATCCAGTGATAGATGCCAAACTCGCTGCAAACAGTTCACTCACTCCCTTACTATTCGAAATGTTCACTTTGGGGATGGGGGAGACTACAAGTTTTTGGCTGGATCTGCTGAAACATCTGCAAAACTCTTTGTTGATGGTTAGTTTTGTTGTTATATTTACAGCTGCCTTTATGTAACTTACCAGATTGGCTAACAAAAATATGTTTTCCAGCTCGCGTGATTGAATTCACCAAGCACATTAAAGATATCAAGGTTACTGAGAAGAAGAAGGCTATATTTGAATGTGAGCTCTCTGAACCCAACGTCCCTGTGATGTGGATGAAGGATGGGCAGGAACTTGAGATGTCTGAGAGGTATATCTTCACTTTTAATGTCATATACACTGTAGATAAATTATAAAACAAAAAAAAAATCTCTTAATCAATATCAGTATTTACATTATATTGACATAAAATTTTAAGACATACTTAACAATAGTTTTTTCCTTGTTTAAAGAATAAATCTCACTAAATTTTGATTGATTAATGCTTAAAATAAGAGAAGTACAAGTTTTAGGCCAAGATTTACTAACCGCTTGCGCCAGGTTATCTGCATCAGATTATCATCTGCTCTGCTTTATCCTACGCTAATTTGCGCTGCTCTTGATAGATTGTGTTGGTCATTCTGAAAATGTCTGCGCCTGTGTTCTTTAATTTACACATTGTCAGTAGATCAGCCGCAGAACTGTTTTGAGTGTGTGGTCTCACGCCAATTTGCCCTGTATTGTAAATCTGGCCTTTAGTATATTATGCACTTTTGGTTCTTAAGTATAATTCATCTTGTTTTAAGGATATATCTATAGTTTTACTGCAAAACATTTTTTTTGACTGATTAAGTGATTTTTTTTGCAGTCTTTATGATGTCAACTCTGTTTATAACTTCCCTATTATTGTAGATTCAAAGCCACCACTGAAAAATTCCTGCAGCGTTTGATGATCCAGACAGTGCGCATGTCTGATGCTGGAGAATACTCTGTGGTTGCTGGTGCAAGCGTTTCCAAGGCAAACCTCATAGTGGAGGGCAAGGATGTCCGCATCTCTGAGCCTGCTGAGAAGGACATCACTGTAACTATCCTTTGTCTTATTACAGTCAGTTGTTAAATATTATCTATGTTCCATGGCGAGACTTTTTTTCTCTCTTTTTTCATGCTTTCCAGGTGGTTGAGAAACAGAGGGCTACATTTGAATTTGAAGTGAATGAGGATGACATTGAAGGCCGCTGGCTGAAAAATGGTGTTGAAATTCAATCTTTTGATGAGCGCTTCAACTATGTGACAGTTAGAAAGACACATCGCTTGACAATCGCTGAAACTTACAGAAGTGATGCTGGAGAATACACTTTCATTGCAGGAAAGAACAGGAGCACAGTCAATCTGCATGTCCAGAGTGAGTGTACAGTTCGGATATCTATAAATATATATATATAAATTAGTGCTGTCAAGCGGTTAATCGCATCCAAAATAAAAGTTTTTGTTTACATAATATATGTATGTGTACTGTATATATTTATTATGTATATATAAATACACACACATACAGTATATATTTTGAAAATATTTACATTTATATACATTTCTATATTTCTATTCTTATATTTTATATTAAATATAAATATACTTAACATATAAACACAATATATTTTTCTTAAATATATACATGCATGTGTTTGTATTTATACATAATAAATATACACAGCATACACGCATATATTATGTAAATTAAAACTTTTATTTTGGATGTGATTAATCGTTTGACACCACTAAAATAAATGTTCAGTTTATTTATTATATAGTCTGCTGTTCAAAAGTTTGAGGTTGGTAACAATCTTCAAATCTATTTTTTTTTAATGGATTTATTTAATCAGAAATAAAGTGAACATCAATATTATGAAATATAAAATTTAAACTGTTTTCTATTTTAACATGTTTTAAAATGTAATTTATTCATGTGGATAGCAAAGCTATTTTCAGCTATTACTTCAGTCTTCAGTGCGGCATGTTCAGAAATTATTCTAGTATGCTGATTTAGTGCTCAAGTAACATTATCACAGTTGAAAACCGTTGTACTGCATAATACTTTTGTGGAAACCATCATACACATTTTCAAGATGCTTTGATAAATAGGAAGTTGTAAAGAACAGCATCTCTCTATAAAAAATGTAATGATGGAAAAGGCTTTTCTGTCACTTTTGATCAATTTAATGCACCCTGACCTCAAAACAAATGATTGGTAGTGTGTACATACAATACTTAGGCTAATCTGAATATATGTCTTTAACTCCTTCTGTCAATGACATACCAGTATATTCCAATTGCATTGTATCACTGTATCAAAGTGGAGCTTTATTTATAGCCCATATAATTTCAGCTGTGAAGTTAATTGGCATTGTCTAATATGTGTCTCAATTTAATTCAGTTCCCGAGCCTCCTCAGATCATCAGGGACATGGAGCCCTTGTCTGTTGAGGCTGGCAAACCTGCACGTTTCTCTGTGGAAGTGACAGGAATTCCTCAGCCTCAGATATTCTGGTATAAGAACTCTCAGGCACTGTCTTCTGGGTTCAAGTGTAAGTTCCTGAGGGAGGGAAATGAGCACACATTGCTGCTTATCGAAGTCTTCCCAGAGGATGCAGCTCAGTACACCTGTGAAGCCAAGAATGACTATGGAGTAGCCACAAGCTCTGCTTCACTTAATGTGGAAGGTGGGATCATTATCAAACTGTTGTTTAAAACCAGTATTAGGTACTAGTTTTACATTCTTTCATATTACCACCAGTTTAACACAAACATGATTTTTGCGAACAGTTTCAGAAGTGGTTTCTCCAGACACGGTGGCTCCAGTTTCTCCACCAGTAATTATTACCTCATTGCAAAATACCTCTGCTGAAGAGGGAGAATCAGCCAGATTCCAGTGCCGTGTCTCTGGAGATGGTAAGGCTCAACCCTGTGAATTAAACAATTGTGGAAAATATAATATATTTAAAATTTTTAATAAGCATGTATGTATTTTTGTGAAGTTAACAAGCTTTTGTTTGATTTATGCAGATCTGAAGATTACCTGGTACTTCAGAGATAAGGAAATTGCGCAGTCTGACAACTTCAGAATCTCTCAGTTTGATGATAGCTGCCAGCTTGAGATCTCCAGAGCATATGTTGCAGATGCAGGAGAATACACATGTGTTGCACGCAATTCTGGGGGAATGGTCTCTTGCTCTGCTGTTTTGAACATCAATGGTATGTGCAAACTTTTAGGTTCCTTCTCTCCAGACAATGCCATCTTTTTTTTGTTGAACAACCAGATTTCTTTCTTTCTTTTGTTTTTTTAGCATGTTCCATTGCTTAAGGCGGGTTTTTAGATGTCATGCATGATCAGGTCATTAACTTGAAATACACTTTGGACAAACTGTTTCTCATAGGAATTTCATTATCATTATGGATTTCACGAGACAGGTGTTTAGTTCCACTACCATCTATGAGCTTACCAAGACCAGGGACCCCATGATTCACTGTGCATGTCAAAGGCATCGTTTTTCATCAATATTTATAGATCATTCAAGCACAATGTAGAAGAAGTGTTAAAAGATACAAACTGCCTCCCCTCTCTTTCATTATTGAGAGAACTAACCACAGACCATTAATAACCAAGCTATATTTTTCAATGAATGGTTTTCCCTCACAGCAAATCCATATAAATAACATTATGAATGGAAGGCGCATTTTGCTTTTCATCATCCTAATGAATTGTGAAAACTCCTCTATGAAATTCTGCCATCTTTCACTACCTTTCCCCTACAGTAATAATCTATTATTTTTTTTAATTAAATGGCATTTTGACATTTATAAATGTCTAATGTTATTTTTTTTATCGCTCAGATCTCAGTGTGAGAACAGTAGGTAGGCAAAGTGTTTCGAGCACTGGATTGACTCATTCGGAGATGGTCACCTCCCAGACCATGAGTGAGACTTATTCTTCCACTATGGAAACTTTTGAAAGTGTCTCTACGGTGATGATGTCCACAACGTCTGTTAAAAGCATTGAGGTCCAACAAGTTACCTCTGTGGAAGAATATTCTACAAGCCCCACTCTGACCCTGAAAATGAATGATGTCATTGCCAGCCTGGGTGATGTGGCTCAGTTCAACTGTTCCTTCAGTGGACAACCATTTACTGAAATGATCTGGGATCATAATGGAAGGACAATAACAAATACAGAAAGGGTGCAGTATGTACATCAAGGCGGGCTCATTTCTCTCATCATACTCAATGTCCATCTTGGGGACCAGGGAAGTTACTGCTGTACTGTTAAAAATAGAAAAGGTGAAAATCGAACATCTGCACAGCTCACAGTGGAAGGTGGTTATAGATTTCGTTTGGTCCTTGATGCTCATTTCATCCCATCTGCTTCCTGCTGGTGTTTTGTTATTCTAAAATATGTTTCATGTGATTATAACCAACTTAAATTTTTAATTCAATTTACAATGTAATATCCCATGTAATCAATTGTAATACTTTAAATGGTTTAATCCTTCACATGCTTGGCCTAACATCATCCTCCATCTTACTAACCTTTTTGTTCTCATCAATGCTAAAATATCTTGTTGAATTACTGAATAATCCCTAATAAATTTCCCTAACTTTATTCTCACTCAGCTAAAGAAGCGAACCCCAAAGAAACCCTCGTACCCTCCAATTCTATCAGTAAATCTTCTAAAACTGAAAATGAGTCAAGTAAAAAGGCCACTGACCAAGAAAAGCAGGAGTCCTTACAGAATGTTGGAGCCCTGACAACAAAGTGGCAGATAAGCCGACATTACTATCCTGATGTTATCCCTTTGTTGGAGCGTGACATTTATGATGCAATTCAGCCAGACTTTCTTGTGAAACTGTCCCCAGAATTCCTTGCCAAACAAAGAGAGAGTGTTTCTCTTTATTATGTAATCAAAGGAAGCCCCTCTCCATTCGTTCTATGGCTACACAACCAGTTGAATGTTGAAGAGCCAAGGTCATACTCCTTGAAACATGATGGGCCCTTGTGCTGCTTAAATATAAAGAATATTGGTTCTGAGCAAGGGGGTACACATTCTTGCAAAGTTATCAATGCTGCAGGAGACAAAACATGCAGCACTCATCTCAGAGTGAAGACAGGTTTGCATTTGCATGCTTTGGTCTTTACCACCTTTTATGTTAGCCCTGGGTGCACTTCTTTTTTTTTTACTCATATATCCATTCTTTTAAGTAGAAAGAGGAAAAAGAATGTGACATCTCTCAAAAAAGGAAAAACAATCACAACATGCAAATGTTGTCTCTGTAGGAGTCTGACAGTGACTGCATTGGACACTTGTCATGGGTGATCTACAAGTGAGATGTGGTCCATTTTCGTTATGTTTGAAGGAGAAAATGGGTTTATAATAATAAGAATGCACAGATACTAAAATACTGCCCAGATACCTTGCTGTCACATATGTAATATTTGTTTTTGTTTTTCCAGTGTCTAAAGTGGATGAGGAGGCCAGTTATGAAGAGGAAGCCAAAGGTAAATGAATAAATACAAATTATGATGACTTATCTTTTGTTTAGTTCTTGTCATTTTATTGTGAGGCTTTTTTAAATATATTTCTGTAAATAAATATTTTTCCATTATTATGAATCTACAGGTTTTTCCAGTCACTAACAGAGTATCTTGATCTATAATATTTAGTATATATTATGATATATATTATGCATTATGTAGCAATTGTTATGATATTAGGTTATGTATTAATTGTATTGAACCATTGCATCATTTTTTTATTTAGTGTTTTCTACCTCGACTATATCAACTGAGGAGGATTCTTGCGCAACAAGTCTTCATCTAAAAGAAAAAAGAAAAACATTTGAACTCCAGCCAGACTGTAAATTATTTTCAGAACCATTAGAGAAAAAGCCAGAAAAGCCAGTTTTTGTAACTAAATTCTCATCAGCTATTGCAACTGTTGGAAACACAGCTAAGTTTACTGTGATAGTTTCTGGATTTCCTAGGCCAGTTATTCAGTGGTATCATAATGGCCAATTGATACAGTCCTCATCTTTTTATACATTTGTCCAAGAGAAGGAAGAACATAGTCTTTTCATTATTAACATTACCAAAGAGTTGGAAGGAGAGTATTCTTGCACTGCGAGTAACCGATTTGGCAAGTCAACATGTACATTGTATCTTCATGTAAAGGTGAAGGACATAAAGGAGCAGGAAAAGACTTTTGGACCGCCTCCATATTTCATCAAAGCAATTGAGCATGTGAAGTATGCAGCCGGTAGCCTTGCTCTCTTTGAATACACCGTAGCAGGGGTTCCACTTCCTGATGTTCAGTGGTACAGGGGCAGCAATCATATGCAGCCTAGTAAGTACTGCATCATTGTGAACAACACAGATGGGTCTGGCTATTTAAAGATATTAGGCATTCAGCAAAGCGACAGTGGTCTTTACTCTTGTAGAGCATCTAATCCTCTTGGAGAAACCTCTTGCAGTGCAGAACTCATTGTATTCTTGGAGACATCTTCTGAAGCCACTGAATCACGTTTGTATAGTGTCAGTCTTCCAGAACAAGTCAGGACTAGCCTTCAGCAGGGACACCAGATGGTTTACACCACTAGCACTGAAGACAGGCAAACTGTTACAAGTGAGCAGACCGATACCTTGCATGCTTTAGATATATCTGCAGCCACTGTGCACTTGGAGCAGGTAACTCGCCAAGCTACAGTGATTCAATCTCATGATGTACAGGAGAGAGTAAAAGTTGCCCCTGCCCAGCCAAAGCCAGTGGTGGCAACTCCCCTGAAACAGCTGCATATGGCTACAATAACCTCTGCTGTTCAAGAAAAACAAGGCTTTACTGAGCAACACTGTGATCAAATTGTTAGTCCAGAAGTACGAGAGCTTGAATTGAGTGTTGAGGAGCCCTCAAACTTTATGTCTGCCATTTCAGAGAGTTCTACACCTCTTAGCATAGTGAAAGCTAAGGATTTGATAAAAAGTGAAACAGAAAAGATACAAACAACTTCAGAGCCAAAGTGTATTGTTAGTGGTTCTCAAGTTGAAATTAAGTTACCAATTCTACAAGAAGAATGCACAAAAATTAAAAGTCCTGAAGAGGAGAAAAGCTACAGCGTTGCAGAAGGGGTTAAGTTATTGTATACTGCAATATCATCAGAAAATGTAGCACTTACAGAAGATCATATTTCAGAGCTAGCAACTGTTGAGTCCATTGAATGTTTAGCAGAAAAAGAACAAGCCAAACCAGTGCTTACATCAGTCAGTGAGACTAAGCACACTCTCTTAAAAGAAAACAACTTTGAAATGCATAGACCAGTCAAGGAAACTGCTCAGCTCTCTAAAGAACCAATATTAAAATCAGCCCTGGTTACTAAAGAAAAGAACAAGCTTCAAGCTGACAAAACCACTGGCATACCTATACTGGATCATCCTTTTTCAGTCCATTCCCAAAAAGAAGAGGATCAGGTGCTTCATTTACAGCTTATCAGTGATCAAGACACTCTTCTGTCAGAGGGCAGATTTACTATTGAGAAGCAAGTTTTCGAGCAGGCGGATGTCAAACAAATGCCAATTCTTTTGCACACAGTTTCTTCTGATTACCAGAAAACAGTTTTTTATGAACAGGCAACACAGTTAGCATCCAAGGATACCACAATTGTTGTAAAGCCTAGAGAAGAGGTTCCTGCCCAAATACATCTTCACTCAGTGGAGTCGAAAACCACTTTATGTAAAGAAGGGTTACTTTCAGTCGAAAAGCCAGATGAACAGAAAGCCATCCAGAGACAAGAAAAAAAATGTAAATTGGTAGCCACTGAAGAAGAACGTGTAGAAATAACTTCGGATTATGCCAAAGGTCTTGATGTGATGGTAGAAGGTCTTAAGATTGAGCACAAAACTGAACCCAGACCCTTGAGTGTTCTTCAAGTTGTCTCACAGACTGTTCCGCTTTCGAAGGAAAGGCCTCTGGTCAGTGAAGTCAAGCCGCATAGTGCAATTGTGCAGAAAGAGGATTGGTGGAATAACATGCATGCAGCATTTGTGTTAGAATCTCATTCAATAGAAGAGGGTCTCGCAGACAGTTTCAAAGCAGTTGAGAAATTCACTTGCGAGACAGATGTAGAAACGAAAGTACCGGTTCAGTCTCTTCATGTAGAAGAAAAAGCCATATCAATAGAAACTTGTGTTTCTCTTGAAGCAGCAGAGCAAGACTTTGCAGTTCAGATTCAAGAAGGTCAGTCCGTAAGGCAGTCAGTACTCATGGAGGAAAAACATACTCTGACAGGTGAAATGTCTCCGGGATTTACTAGATCAGAGGCAACTAAAATAAACATTACAACTCAGCCACTCGAACCTCTTTTAGTAAGTGAATCGCAGGAAAGCAAAACTCTTCCAAAGGAACTTACCTTTGTAATTCCTGTACCGAAATCACACAGCTTGGACATCAAACAACAGTTGGAAATGACACTTCGATGTGCTGTGGCTTGTGAGCAGTCTTTGCTTTTGGCAGATGTAGTGAAAAAGTTAGAAGTCGTAGAAGTAAAGAAGGTCAAGGTGCATATGGAACAGAAATACATGATGTTCACTTACCTTATAACAACAGCTGGTCCACCCATAGAAATTACAATTGCCTTCCAAGGTGAATATGCCCAGACAGCACTCTTAAAAATGAGCTTCATGCAGCTTTCTACTCTATGCTTAATCAGGAGAAACCAGTCTTGACCTCTGAACAGTCAAACATCTTAAAACTTGATAGACCTGAGAGATTGCAGGTTAGCAAAGCCACTCCATATCCATTGTCCTCAGCAGTTTTAACAGAAAATGTTGAAGTGTTTGCAACACCCAAAATGCAGTCTGCTGCTCTGCAAACAGAAGCTGAAGTCTCTTTCAAGTCTGCAATATCTCAAAAGAAAACTGCTATCCAGGAGTCAAGGCACCATGTGACTCAGAAGACTGTTGAATCCAAAATGGACATTTATAGTTTCGCTGAGACTGAACACAGGGAAATTAAAACCGTTTCAGCTGAACATTATGAGAGAGTTGTCTGTGTTTCAGATATTACAGTTGATGCCCCTCACAGGCAAGTCACTGTGGAAGAGCCTATGGATGTTCTTATTCAAGAAGACAAACGAGAGGAGGTTTTAACAGAGGACGTTTTGACTAAGCATTTGACAGAAAAGCTCTTTTTTGAAATACCATTAAAAGACATTACTGCAGAGGAGAATTCCAAGGTTACATTGTCTGTGAGAGTAAAAGGTGTAAAAAGTGTTAACTGGCTTTTCAATAGAGTATTGATCAAATCTGGCAAAGAGTTCAAATGTTTAAAGGATCATGACTCTTACACACTAGTAATCAACAAAGTTATCAAGATGAAACATGAAGGTGAATATACCTGCGAGGCTGAGAGTGAAGCTGGCAAGATATCATCATCATCAAGGCTCACTGTTGTCTCAAGAGGTTGGACTGTGTGGATTTTGTCAGCTTACAAGAGATAGATAATTCTTAACAATTCAACTCAGACCATCACTAATTAACTAGTAGGCAGCTGCTACATCATCGTCCCATTAGTTCACCATTTCTTTAAGAATTCTTTTCAAAAATACATTTTGTGTGCTAAACATCTTTCCACCCTCTTTCAAAATAATGGCACATTTTTCATCTTCTTCTGAGTTCTTCAAGCATGACCATGTCATGTGTGACTCTTCATCACCCTAACGCTAATGCTCACACCCCTTTTTTCATGTCATCCCAGGATTACTGTTATCCATTCCTTTCCATCTGATATGTCACTCAAATCAGTTGTCATAATGTTGCCAATGTAATAATGTTTTGTATTTTTTCTCCTTGCACGTTTCAGCGCCTCCAGTTTTCAAGAAGAAGATTTGTGACATGCAGAGCAACATCGGCAGCCCAGGGAAGTTTGAATGTGAAATTGAAGAGACATCCAATGTGACCTTTAAGTGGTTCAAGTCTGGATCAGAGATTAGACAGAGTGACAAATTCAGGATCATCAGCAGGCAAAGTACATCATCTCTAGAGCTCCTCAACCCAACAAAGGATGACGTTGGTGAATACAGCTGTCGCGCTTCAAACAAGCACGGTAGTGACACCTGTTCTGCTAACCTGAACTTCACTGGTGAGTAGCTGGTTTTGAATTTATATGCTTTGCTTTAGCTGCTGGCAACTCTTTAACAAAGGTTACTGATTTTCAAGGTTTCAGTGTTTTTTTTTCATCCTTTACATCCAATCTGCACTCTTCTGTATGACAGAGTTGTGTACGTTTTGTAATGTTATATAAATATATGTTGCATCTTATATTGTGTGTAGTGATTATGAAATTGCTGAAGACAGAAATGTCAAATCTTTTAAGCTCTTCCTCTTAATGTTATTCTTTATATTCTCTCTTTTTTAATTAATACAATTAATCCTCCTGGGATCAGTGCTACCGGTCTTTTGTAACCATGTCTGAACCAGAGACTTGGAAATTTATGTGATAGTTTTATGATCTTTCCTAAATATTTGTAAAAAGTTTAAAAAGTTTCTTCTGATTCAGTTCAGATATTTTGTACAGATATTAAATACAGGTTACAAAATGTTTTGGTGGCCTTATGTGGTAGAGATAGCTGATATAGACAAACTCAGATTGATTCCATTTCAAAAATGGATATTCAATTGTCTATTGAGTGCATATTGGATTATAATTTTGGGAATTCATCTATTTCAGTCATGTGACATTTTCCAGCTCATCCACCATGTTTATGACCATCAGTGGAAAAAAACAAAAAACTTGATCACTGAATTTGACTTTTAACAATCCCAGAAGCACAGACCATATCCATTTCAACTCTGTATAGCTGTGCTCTCTGTATGCTGTAAAAAACAACATATATACAGTGGGGGAAAAAGTATTTAGTCAGCCACCAATTGTGCAAGTTCTCCCACTTAAAAAGATGAGAGAGGCCTGTAATTTTCATCATAGGTATACCTCAACTATGAGAGACAAAATGAGAAGAAAAAAAATCCAGAAAATCACATTGTAGGATTTTTAAAGAATTTATTTGCAAATTATGGTGGAAAATAAGTATTTGTTCACATGTAAAGTTACTGGACTCCTGGAGAACCACCTCTACGAATTTAGAGTTTCTGCTGAGAATGCTGCTGGAGTTAGTGAGGCAAGTTCTGCAACTGTATTCTATAAAGCCCTGGATCCTGTATTCAAGCCAGGTCCACCACATAATCCAAAAGTGTTAGACATGACCAAATCATCTGTTGTACTTGCATGGGGAAAGCCTATTTATGATGGTGGCTGTGAAATCCAGGGATATATTGTTGAAGCATGTGAAACAAAATCAGCCATAGAGGAGATACAGACTCCAGGAGAAGAAGGAAAGGCAGCTGCAGATGAATGGGCAATCTGCACTCCACCAACAGGTGTTAAACTGACACGCTTTAATGTGGAAAATCTGAAAGAAAAGCAGGAATATAAATTCAGGGTTTGTGCAGTTAACAAGGTTGGTGTTGGGGAGCCTGCTGATGTTGCAGGGTCCATACTGCCAGAGGACAAAACTGAGGAACCGGATCTTGATATTGATGCTGAGTTTAGAAATGTTGTACGTATTAAAGCTGGAGGTTCTCTTAGAATGTTCATCCCTTTCAAAGGAAGACCAGCACCACAAATCAAATGGGAAAAAGATGGTGGGCAGATTAAGGAAACAGCACAGACTGAGACCAGCAGCAGTCACACTTCTCTTGTGATTGATAAAGTCAACAGGGCAGACAGTGGTAAATACACTGTTACTGCAGAAAACTCTGCTGGTGCAAAATCTGAAACAATTATTGTGAAAGTCCTTGACACACCAAGCGCTCCTCTCAACTTCAAAGTTAAAGAAATTACAAAAGAATCTGTTACTCTTACATGGGAGCCTCCCATTTTAGATGGTGGAGCAAAGATCAAAAATTACATTGTTGAAAAACGTGAGAGCACAAGAAAAACATTTTCTGCTGTTGTCACAAACTGCCACAAACTCTCTTGGAAAGTTGAACCACTTCAAGAAGGCTGCAGTTACTATTTTAGAGTGCTTGCAGAAAATGAACATGGTATAGGGCTACCTGCCGATATCACAGATCCTTTGAAGGTTTCAGAGGTGCCACAATGTCCTGGAAAATTAAGTGTTGTAGATGTTACTAAAACAAGTGTGTCTCTTTCTTGGGAAAAGCCAATTCATGATGGTGGCAGTAGAATTCTTCAATACCTTGTTGAAATGCAGGTCAAGGGTAATGATAAATGGTCTGGATGTGCCAATGTAAAAACACTGGAAGCTGTAATCAGTAATTTGAACCCTGGCGAAGAGTACACTTTCAGAGTAATTGCTATCAATGAAAAAGGAAAGAGTGACCCAAGAACACTTGCTGTCCCCGTGCAAGCAAAGGACCTTGTCTTTGAACCTGATGTAAGACCTGCATTTAGCAACTACAGTGTTCTTGTTGGAAAGGACCTTCAAGTTGAAATCCCAGTTTCTGGTCGTCCAAATCCAAAGGTTACATGGACAAAGGATGGTGCAGCCCTCAAGTTCACAACAAGGGTTAACATTTCTAATACAGCACACAGCACTGTTCTTAACATCAAAGAAGCAGCAAGAGAAGATGGTGGAATGTATGGAATAAACGTGTCCAATGTTGTTGGACAAAAGGATGCCACCATTGAAATCATCACTCTTGATAAACCTGGCCCACCAACTGGCCCTGTGCGATTTGATGAGATAACTGTTTCAAGCATTACATTGTCGTGGGATTTTCCAAAGTATACTGGTGGTTGCCCAATTTCAAATTATATTGTGCAAAAGAGAGATACAACTTCTACAACATGGGAGAATGTTGCAATTTCATTAGCAAGAACAACACTTAAAGTCGTACGACTGAAGACCGGTGCTGAATTTCAATTCAGAATCATTGCTCAGAACATGTATGGCAAGAGCTATGCTTTGGACTCTTCAACTGTTGTTGCTCAGTATCCATATAGAGAACCAGGGCCACCAGGAACTCCATTTGTGTCATGTCTATCAAAGGACCATATGGTTGTTGAGTGGAATGAGCCAGTTTCAGATGGCGGCAGCACCATTATTGGATATCATCTTGAAAGGAAGGAGAGAAACAGCATTATTTGGTCAAAGATAAATAAGACACTGATTCAAGAAACAAGATTCAAAACCAGTCCTTTAGAGGAAAGTGTTGAATACGAGTTCAGAGTATATGCTGAAAATATCGTTGGCATTGGAAGATGCAGCAAAATCTCAGAGGGCTTTGTTGCTCGTGATCCATGTGATCCTCCTGGAACCCCAGAAGCTGTCCATGTGACTAAAAATGCAATAACTATTCAGTGGACAAAGCCAGAGTATGATGGTGGAAGTGTTATCACTGGTTATACTGTTGAGAAACGTGATCTTCCTGAAGGACGCTGGATGAAAGCAAGTTTCACAAATGTTATTGAAACCAATTTTACTGTCACTGGGCTGACAGAAGGTGCCAAGTATGACTTGAGGGTAATTGCAAAGAATGCAGTTGGCACTATCAGCAAACCATCATACAACAGTGGACCTATTGCTGCATTGGATGAGGTAGATCCACCAAAGTTCTCTATTGACCCAGAATACACTCAGACTCTAATTGTGAATGTGGGAGATACATTCAAACTTGAAAACTTTTGAATGTATCTCCCTTTATACTGTTGAGAAACGTGATCTTCCTGAAGGACGCTGGATGAAAGCAAGTTTCACAAATGTTATTGAAACCAATTTTACTGTCACTGGGCTGACAGAAGGTGCCAAGTATGACTTGAGGGTAATTGCAAAGAATGCAGTTGGCACTATCAGCAAACCATCATACAACAGTGGACCTATTGCTGCATTGGATGAGGTAGATCCACCAAAGTTCTCTATTGACCCAGAATACACTCAGACTCTAATTGTGAATGTGGGAGATACATTCAAACTTGATGCTGATGTTCATGGTAAGCCACTTCCTGCAATCCAGTGGTTTAAGAATGACAAGGAGCTTGAAAACACAATTAGATGTGACATCAGGAACACTGACAACAGAGCACTGATTATAGTAAAAGATGCAGTCAGACAAGATGGTGGAAACTACACTCTTCAGCTCACTAATGTTGCTGGATCTCAGACCGTTCAATTCCATGTTAAAGTCCTTGATAAACCAGGTCCACCAGAAGGGCCTCTTCATGTCACAGGCATGTCCAGTGATAAATGCACACTGATATGGCATGCTCCACTAGATGATGGAGGAAACACTATCACTCATTACATTATTGAGAGACGTGAGACAAGTCGACTTGCTTGGACTGTGGTCTGTAATGACTACAAAACTACAACATACAAAGTGACAAAGCTCCTGGAAGGTAACGAATATATATTCCGTGTCATGGCTGTGAACAGTTATGGTGTTGGGGAGCCAATTGAGGCACCATCTGTAATAATGAAAGATCCATTTAGTCAACCTGGATCACCACAAATTATCGAAGTAACAAATATTGCAAAGGACTCTATGACTATTTGCTGGAGTGCACCAGATACTGATGGTGGAAGTAAAATTCTTGGTTACATCATTGAGAAGAGAGACAGATCTGGAATTAGATGGACAAGGTGCAACAGAAAAAAAGTAACTGATGTATGCTTCAGAGTGCATGGCCTAATTGAGGATCATGAGTATGAATTCAGAGTGTCAGCTGAAAATGCAGCTGGAATTGGAGAACCAAGCTTGCCAACTTCATACTACAAGGCTTGTGATCCCAAATACAAACCTGGCCCACCCATGCATGCACATGTTGTTGATACCACCAAGACTTCAATTACAGTGGCATGGGGAAAACCCCTTAATGATGGAGGATGTGCAATTCAAGGATATATTGTAGAGATCTGCAAAGCTGAAGAGGAAGAATGGACTATGTGCACTCCCCCTACTGGCTTACGTGTTAACAAATTTGAAATCACTAAGCTAACAGAACAACAAGAATATAAGATTCAAATATGTGCCATCAATAAATTAGGTGTTGGAGAACCTGCAGTTATTCCAGGAACTGCCAAGCCTGAGGACAAGCTGGAGACCCCTGAAATTCACCTTGATTCAGAGCTAAGGAAAGGCATTGTTGTTCGTGCAGGAGGATCAGTAAGAATCAATGTACCATTCAAAGGTAGACCAATACCAGATATCAAATGGACTAAAGACGAAGGTGAACTGTCAGAAAAGACAGTGCTTGAAAAGGGTATTAACTTCACCCAGCTTTCAATTGACTCCTGTGATAGAAGGGACTCTGGAAAATACACTGTGACTCTACAGAACAGCAGTGGCTCTGTATCTGAATTTGTGGCTGTTAAAGTGTTAGATACACCTGGAGCACCACTAAACCTCGTAGTAAAGGATATCAAGAAGGACTCTGTTACACTTGTTTGGGAACCACCACTTATTGATGGAGGTGCAAAGATCAAGAATTATATTGTTGACAAGCGTGAATCCACAAGAAAAGCCTATGCAAATATAACAACCAAGTGCAGCAAAACAACTTATAAGGTGGAAGATCTTGCAGAGGGGGCCATGTATTATTTCAGAGTTATGGCTGAAAATGAATATGGTGTTGGTTTGCCGGTTGAAACAAAAACTGCTTCAAAGGCATCTGAAGTACCTCAGCCAGTTGGAAAGGTGATGCTGACGGATGTGACAAAAGTAAGTGCATCTCTGGCCTGGGAAAAGCCAGAGCATGATGGCGGTAGTAGGATTGCGGGCTACTTGATTGAAATGCAGCCAAAAGGAACTGACAAATGGGATGTAGCAGCAAATGTAAAAACATGTGAGGGAACAGTCACTGGACTGACTGGCGGTCAGGAATATTTGTTCCATGTTTTGGCATACAATGAGAAAGGCAAAAGTGAGCCAAAGACCCTTGCTGCTCCAGTTATTGCCAACGACCTCACAATTGAACCAAGCCTAAAGTTGCAGTTCAATACATATAGCGTCAAATCTGGAAAGGATTTCAAACTTGAAATACCTATTTTTGGACGTCCAAAACCAAAGATCACTTGGTCAAAGGATGAACAGTCACTTAAAGTAACATCCAGAGTTACTACTTTCTTCACACCAACATCCACAATCCTGCAGATTACTGAAGCCTGTAAAGATGACCTTGGAAAGTATACAGTTACCGCAACAAACAGTGTTTGTGCAGTTACAGAAGATATCAGTATCATAATCCTGGATAAACCTGGTCCACCCACAGGACCAATAAAAGTGAGTGAAGTGAGCAACAATTATGTTTCAATCTCATGGGAACCTCCGGAGTATACCGGAGGCTGCCAAGTAAAGCATTATATTGTTGAAAAGCGAGACGCCACTGAAACTACGTGGCAAGTAGTTGCTGGATCAGTTGCCAGGACATCCCTCAAAATTACCAAGCTGAAAACTGGTGCTGAGTATCAGTTTAGAGTCATTGCTGAGAACAGATATGGTAAGAGTGCTCCTTTGGATTCAAAGTCCATTGTTGTGCAGTATCCTTACAAACCACCTGGTCCACCTGGTACGCCGTATGTGAAATCTGCCACCAAAGATCAAATGATAATTGAGTGGAATGAACCAGTCAGTGATGGTGGCAGTTCAGTGATTGGATACCACCTTGAGAGCAAAGAAAGAGCAAGTATTCTATGGACAAAACTAAACAAAACACTTATTACTGATACTGTTTTCAAAATATGCAATCTTGAAGAAGGCATTGGTTATGAATTCAGGGTATATGCTGAAAACATTGTTGGTATTGGTAGAGCAAGCAAAGTTTCAGAGAGCTTTGTTGCCCGTGACCCATGTGATCCACCTGGAACGCCTGAGGCTGTTACAATATCAAAGGACCACCTTAAGATTCAGTGGACAAAGCCTCAATATGATGGTGGCAGCAAAGTTACTGGATATATTGTTGAGAGAAGAGATTTGCCTGAGGGCCGATGGATGAGGGCAAATTTTACCAATGTAATTGAGACAGAATTTACAATCACAGGCTTAACAGTAAACAATCAATATGAATTTAGAGTAATTGCAAGAAATGCAGTGGGTGTCTTCAGCGAGACTTCAGACAGCACTGGACCAATTACTGCTACAGATGAAATTGAACCTCCAAGTGTTTCAATGGATCCTAAGTACAAGGATGTCATTGTTGTCAATGCTGGAGACAACATAGTTTTGGATGCAGATATACACGGTAAACCAACACCTGACATTCAGTGGCTAAAAGAAGGAAAGGAAATGGATAAGACATTGCGTATTGAAGTAAGAATTACCCAAAAATATGCTTCCATTACAATAAAAGATTGTACAAGATTGGATGGTGGAGACTATGAACTTGTATTAAGTAACTGTGGTGGAACAAAAACAATTCCAATAACAGTAAAAGTTCTTGACAGACCAGGTCCACCAACCGGACCATTACGAGTGACTGGCATCATGTCTGACAAATGTCGTCTGTCCTGGTCTGAGCCCTTGCAGAATGGTGGAGCTAATATTTCTCATTATATCCTTGAGAAAAGGGAAACTAGCAGACTATCATGGACTGTTGTTGATTCTAACATTCCTAGTGTAAATTATAAGGTGACCAAGCTCCTGCCAGATGATGAGTATATCTTTAGAGTTATGGCTGTCAACAAATATGGCATTGGTGTGCCTCTAGAATCTGAGGCAATTATTGCACGCAATCCATACAAGCCACCAAGTGTGCCATCAACACCAGAAGCAAGTGAGATAACGAAGGATTCAATAACTCTATCATGGAATGCCCCAGAGAGTGATGGTGGAGCAGAAATTAAGTGTTATCACTTAGAGAAGCGTGACAAAGATGGTGTGAGGTGGACAAAATGCAACCGACAGAAGCTGACCGATCTTCATTTCAAAGTAACTGGTTTGTTAGAGGGACATTTCTATGAGTTCCATGTGTCTGCTGAAAATGAAGCTGGTGTGGGAGAATTTAGTGACCTATCTCTGTTTTATAGAGCAATAAATGCCACAACTCCCCCAGGTCCACCTCATCATCCTAAAGTGACAGATCACACAAGCTCATCTGTCTCTCTGTCTTGGGGAAAACCTGCTACTAATGGTGGTGCATATATGAAAGGTTATATTGTTGAGATGAAAGAGGTTTCTTCAGAGGAATGGATCATATGCACACCCCCAGCTGGTATTCAAGCAACACGCCTCACAGTTGAAAGCCTGAAGGAAAATGCTGAATATAACTTCCGTGTTTGTGCAATTAATTCTGAAGGAGTTGGTGAGCCTGCTGATGTTCATGGATCAGTGACTGCATCTGAAAAGATTGAAGCACCTGAGATTGAACTTGATGCTGACCTCAGGAAAGTTGTCTCTGTTCGTGCAGGAGGATCCCTTCGTCTTTTCATTACAATTAGAGGTCGACCTGAGCCATCCGTCAAATGGGAAAAGGAGGATGGGACTCTAACTGAGCGTGCTCAGATTGAGTTCACCAGTTCATACACCATGCTTGTAATTGACAATGTCAATAGATTTGACAGTGGAAAATACAACTTGACTCTTGAGAACAAGAGCGGCACAAAATCTGCATTTGTGAATGTCAGGGTGCTTGATACACCAAGTTCTCCACAGAAGTTTGAAGTGAAAGATGTAAAGAAAGATTCAGTATCTCTCTGCTGGGACCCACCGCTTACAGATGGTGGGGCTAAAATAACCAATTATGTGGTTGAAAAGCGAGAATCTACAAGAAAAGCTTATACAACTGTCACAAGCAACTGCACACAGACTTCCTTTAAAGTTGATGAACTGCAGGAAGGAGGAATTTTCTACTTCCGTGTATGTGCTGTTAATGAGTATGGCTTTGGTGTGATGGCAGAAACAAAGAATCCTATTAAGGTTGCACAGGTACCTATGCCTCCAGGTAAAGTAACTCTTGTGGATGTCACGAAGAATAGTGTGACACTTACTTGGGTTAAGCCTGTCCACGATGGAGGGAGCAAAATCATCTGCTACAATGTAGAGATGCAACCCAAGAGTAGTGACAAATGGGGTGTAAGCTGCACAGTTAAGGTTCCAGAGGCTACTGTGAGCAACCTCACGCCTGGTGAAACATACTCATTCAGGGTTATTGCATTGAATGAGAAGGGCAAGAGTGAGCCTCAAGAACTTGGTGTACCTGTTGTAGCTAAAGATATTGAGATTGAACCCTCTGTTCATCTGCTGTTCAATACATACAGTGTTAAGGCTGGAGATGATCTTACTGTGGAAGTTCCTGTGAGAGGCAGGCCTAAGCCAGTTGTCTCTTGGAAGAAGGATGGCCTTCCTTTGAGGCAAACAACCTCTCTTTCAATTGTCAACACGATGGTGTCAAGCAAAATTGTCATCAAAGAAGCTGCTATTGAACATGTTGGTAAATATGAAATCACTCTTGCTAATACAGCAGGCACCAAGTCCACAGACATTGGCATTGTTGTTCTTGATAAACCTGGGCCACCAGCTTCAGTGAAGATTGATGCTGTGACTTCTAACAGTATTACATTGTCATGGGCCCCTCCAGAATATGATGGTGGATGCTCCATCAACAATTACATTGTTGAGAAGAGAGACACTAACACAACAGAGTGGCAGATTGTTTCAACAAATGTTGCCAGAACCTCAGTCAAAGTACCTCGATTGACACAGGGTTCTGAGTACCAGTTCCGCATCTATGCAGTGAATCGTTATGGAAAGGGTAAGCCAATTGACTCTCCAGGAATTACTGCAGCGTACACATTTAAACAGCCTGGCCCACCTTCTACGCCCCGTGTTGCTCATGCCACCAAGGTCTTCATGCTCATCACATGGAATGAGCCAGTTAATGATGGTGGTAGCACAGTCCTTGGCTATCATTTAGAACGCAAGGAGAGAAGCAGTATTCTTTGGACAAAGGTGAACAGGACAATAATCAAGGATACTGAATTCAAAGTAACTGGAATTGAGGAAGGTATGATGTATGAATTCCATGTCTATGCTGAAAATATTGCTGGAATTGGCAAAGCAAGCAAAGCCAGTGAGTCCATAGCTGCACGAGATCCCTGTGATCCTCCTGGTCAGCCTGTGGTAACTAGCATTACCAAATCCTCTGTTTCTCTTTCTTGGACCAAGCCTGAGTATGATGGTGGAGCCAAAGTTACTGGCTACATAATTGAGCGTAGAGATCTTCCAGAGGGTCGCTGGATAAGATGCAATTTTACCAATGTTGTAGAGACTTATTTTGATGTTACTGGCCTAACATCGGATGAGAAATATGATTTCCGTGTCATCGCAAAGAATGCTGCTGGACTATTCAGTGAGGCATCTGACAACACTGGTCCTATTACAGTTAAAGATAATGTAGATCCACCACGCATTATGATGGATGTCAAGTTCAAGGATGTTGTGGTAGTAAAAGCTGGGGAAACCCTGAAGATTAATGCTGACATTGCAGGGCGCCCTCTTCCAGTTGCATCTTGGTCAAAGGATGGACATGAAATTGAACCGAAGGCAAGAATTCAGATAACTGGAACAGATACTAGTACTATAATAGTAGTTAAAGACTGCAAAAGGAGTGATTCTGGACAGTACGCTTTGACTTTAAAGAATGTTGCAGGAAGTGTCACAACACCAGTAAACTGTGTTATTCTGGATAAACCAGGACCTTCAGCAGGACCACTATCAGTAACAGGCATCACAGCAGAGGAGTGCACACTGTCATGGGGACCCCCACAAGAAATTGGTGGCTCTGAAATAACACATTATATTGTTCAGAAACGAGAGACCAGTCGATTGGCATGGACACTTGTACATGGAGAGGTCAAAACTACAACATTCAAGGTCACTAAGCTCCTAAAAGGAAATGAGTACATATTCAGAGTATTAGCTGTCAACAAATTTGGACTTGGTGAAGCCCTTGAAAGTGAAATGGTCAAGGTCACTGAACCATACACTATCCCAGGAGCTCCAACAAATGTTGAAATTACAAGTGTGACCAGTGAGGAAATGAGGCTAACTTGGATAAAACCTGCATCTGATGGAGGCAGCGAGATCCTTGGATATATAATTGAAAGGCGAGAGAAATCTGGTCTTCACTGGGTCCGTGTGAACAGGGACCTTGTGAAAGACCTAACAGCTGTAATATCAAAAGTAAGAAGAGGATGTGAGTATGAGTTTAAGGTTTATGCTGAAAATTCAGCAGGCTTGAGTCCAGCCAGTGACCCATCTCCTTCAGCAAGGGCAGAGGATGAACTTTTGGTACCATCCCAACCAACTAAACCTAAGATTCTGGATCATACCAAGAATTCTATTACTATTGCCTGGAAAAAGCCATTATCTGATGGTGGTGCACAGATCCTCGGATACAGTGTAAAATATAAGAATTCTGAGGATACAGAATGGAATGTGGCTATTCAGATGACAAAAAGTAATGAATTCACAATTTCTGGTCTTACAACTGATGTACAGTATGTATTTGCTGTTAAAGCAATCAACAAAGTTGGTGTCAGTGAACAGTCGCCTGTCTCTGAGTCACAGTCAGCAACGGAGAGAAAGGAGGAACCTGTATTTGACATTGACATTGAGATGCGAAAAACTTTAATTGTCAAGCATGGTAATTCATTCACTTTGACGGCTCCATTTAAAGGAAAGCCAATGCCTTCAGTTACATGGAATAAAGAGAAGGTTGATCTCAAAGCAAGGGCAAGCATAGAAACAACAGAAACATGCACATCTGTTACTATTGAGAAAGCAACACGAAATGACTCTGGACAATACATTGTTACTTTGGACAATGGTGTTGGAACAGCATCTTTGCCAGTGATGGTCAAAGTCCTTGACACCCCTGGACCACCAACTAATGTGAAAATTACTGAAGTCACAAAAGATTCTGCTACAGTTACTTGGGAACCTCCAGAGAATGATGGAGGAGATGCTGTTAAGGCTTATCATGTTGAGAAACGTGAAGCAAGCAAAAAGGCTTGGGTATGCGTAACAAGCAACTGTCACAGTCTGACATACAGGGTTGAAGACTTGCAAGAAGGTGCAATCTACTACTTTAGAATCACTGGAGAAAATGAGTTTGGAACAGGTGTAACTGCTGAAACTAAAGATGGAACCAAGATAACAGGTACAATTATTTCCATGTTTATTTGTCTGAAAATGAGAAAAGAATAGGTTTCAGAAAAACTTTATTCATTTTGTGTTTTAAATATGATTTCAACTTTGCACCAACAGAAAAA